AGGGACATCAAGATGGAAAAACCAGTGTCTCAGATGCTTTCTGTGTCAAAAGCCCAACATGATTTACTCTCACTTCAAAAAACTTACTTTTTCCTAAATGTTTTTTGGATGAGAAAAGCTTTTATGAGAAGAAAAATTGTTTTCGATGAGAGATTTTTTTATTTAATTTTTTTGTGACAAACTTTTTATGAGAAATGTTTTTTTGATGAGAGTAAAAAAAAATTCAGATGAAAAAAAAAACGTAAAAATTAAAACGGTAAAAAAAAAAAATTTTTGATAAGAGAAAAAAATAAGAAAACAAATGGCTTTTTTTGATGAGAGAATTTTTTTGATGAGGAAACAAAATAGCTTTTTTTGATGAGGAAAAAACGGCTTTTATGATGAAAGTAAAATGTTTTTGGATGAGAAAAAAGTTTTGAGATGAGAGAAACAAACTCTGGATGAATTTAAGGCACTGTTTTATTCCAGCTTGACTCGCTGCAGTAATATAGTTTAAGTGCTACAAGTTATAAACGTCAGCAGTGATTATCTACAGTTTTAATATTTCCCTTTCCTTCCATGTAACCCTTGAAATGTTCATATCCTCATCTCAAACTCACTCACGTATAAAAATACTCATATAAACGTCCACATCTCACTCAGACAAGGAAAAAACACCCAGAAATTAAAATTCTCTCGTGATTTTGTCATTTCAAACCTGTAAGATGTTCATTTTCTTTCAAACATTTAAACCAACTAATTTTATGACTTTTTTTGTTGTTAATTTTGGAGTTTGAGAGTCCAGGAGCCACATTTGGAAAAATTCTTATATGTGTCCCTGCAGCACAAAAGCAGTCTTAAAGGTCCCATGACATGCTGCTTTTTGGATGCTTTTATATAGGCCTAAGTGGAAAAAAAATATTTATTAATATTATTTATATCATTAATATTATTGTGTGTGTAAATGATATATATAATATCAATTATATATGATTTCCTCATGAAATATGGAATATATATATATATATGTATATATAATTAATATATACATTTAATAATAATATAAGAATAAAATTTTTTGTAGTACATATTATAAAAAAGTAATTCATAAATTATATATATATATACACACACACACACACACACACACACACATATATATATCATTGGTGAATTAATTTATATATGATTTCTTAGAAAAAAATGGACATCTTTATAGATGAAGGCCCTGGGCTGTATGAACTGTTGTTTCTGTTATTGTACAGAAAGTGACTAAATGACAGAATCTTTATTTCTGGGAGATTTTTCCTTCGAATCTGATTTACAGGCATGTTTTAGGATGTAAAGTCCCGTCAGGAGCGAAAGCATCGGGCTTCGTTTTCGTAAAGTGCAGTTCCTGTTGTGCATTCATCCGTCTGACGGATAACTCAAGTGCATTCTGGGTCAGAAACATCTGATCGCTTTTACGTCTCAGAAACCCACAAACTCCAGACCGCCGTCGCTGTGGCTGTGGTGACCGGTCGAGCTGGCGTTGCTGTCTGTGGTGTAAAAATGTCACGTTAGCAATTAAAGAAAAACACTTCAGCAAAACATGCTCAGCTCAAAGTGTCTGAATCATTTTTCATCCGGTAGTCCACTGTATGAAGAATTATTGGGTATAATATGTCACAGTTTACTTTATTTTGCTCTCCTCACTTACTTTAAGTGAGCTATAGTGTCCTGCACACACTAGTAAATAAACATCAAAATAGGAGGTTTCTGTAATACCTCCTTCTTATCTGTAGGTAGCGCTGTTCTGTAATAGCTTTTGTCCTAAATGTGGTCCTAACTAAAATCACCATGGTTACCAAACTGATAAAATAAGATTTTAAAGTTAGGATCTTTCTGTAATTCGCCCCCTGGAGCACAAAACCAGTCATATCATCCATTTTTCAGAAATTAAGATGTATGCATCATCTGGAATCTGAATAAATAATCTTTCCATTGATGTATGGTTTGTTAGGATAGGACAATATTTGGCTGAGATGCAACTATTTGAAAATCTGGAATCTGAGGGTGCAAAAAAATCTAAATATTGAGAAAATCATCTTTAAAGTTGTCCAAATTAAGTTCTTAGCAGGCTATTGCTACAAATATACCCCAGCGACTTAAGACTGCTTTTGTGCTGCAGGGTCACATATTTCAAAACTGTGGTGAGAACTAACCAGTGCTGAAACAGGGGTTTCACAGGCCCTTTAACGTCTCTCAGAAACCCACAAACTCCAAACCGCCGCCGCCACCGCCGCTGTGGTTGCCAGATTGCCGAGGCTCTGCGCGGCGCTGACCTCTGACCTCTGACCTCCCCGCAGCCACGAACACATTTAGCAGAGATGTGGTCGCCAGATCCATCGCCGTCACACGCATGTGGTTCACGGTTCACTCAGCAACAGAAAGAGTTGAGAATATATGCATATATATATATATATATATATATATATATATATATAAAGCCTATGTTTCGAACCATTAAGGTTTTAAGAGTATCAATTTTTAGTTGCTTGCATTGTGATATACACAATTCTAAAAA